ACCAAGTATATTGAAATACTGTCTGTCGAAATCTGCCTTTTCTATCGTAGAAACAGGCGGTCTTTAAATACACAAATCTGTTCATGTCTAGCATGAACGAAACTAATCAAAGGTATCAATTGATACACTTTGGTAAAACTCTTTAAGTATCAAAGCGATACTTAAAACAAAACATAAAACAAAACCAAGTATCAAACGATACTTAAAACAAATCATAAAACAAAACCAAGTATCAAACGATACTTAAAACAAATCATAAAACAAAACCAAGTATCAAACGATACTTAAAACAAACCAAGTATCAAAGCGATACTTAAAACAAAACATAAAGCAAAACCAAGTATCAAACGATACTTAAAACAAACCAAGTATCAAAGCGATACTTAAAACAAAACATAAAACAAAACCAAGTATCAAACGATACTTAAAACAAACCAAGTATCAAAGCGATACTTAAAACAAAACATAAAACAAAACCAAGTATCAAACGATACTTAAAACAAACCAAGTATCAAAGCGATACTTAAAACAAAACATAAAACAAAACCAAGTATCAAACGATACTTAAAACAAACCAAGTATCAAAGCGATACTTAAAACAAAACATAAAACAAAACCAATAACCGAGTACCCGTACCGGTTACACAACCCAATCTCCTCATATCCTTAACCCTGCTCCAACACGATACCAAGGTCTTGAAGAACTCGAACAAGCAGCAGCCTACGTGGATGCGATATCCTATTTACACCCCCCACAGTCAGCCCCGCCATCCTCTCCTCCCATAAATGATCCACGACCACTATATGAAGGACCCTTACGAGTATACAACAATGAAACCATTTTCTCGGTCATACCCCCTACTATTCCCGCGCATCGGCGTCAACTCTACGAAACCTTTGAGGAAGAAGAAGCCCCTATCGAACCCACAAGAGGATCCCTAATCGAGGATGAACGAGATGTTAGATCAACCACAGAAGAATTAACCTCCTCTTTCCGAAGCCAAATGATTGCAGGATACCGCCATGACCCGATTTACTTCAAAGCCATGGATAGCTCCTGGCATGGAGACCTCGCCCCCTACAACATATCCAACGGAATGGTCTTTACCAGCACCCGTTACAGTGAACATTGCCTATACATATCAAAAGGCCATATGTTCAATGGAATGACGATTAGAGAATATGTCATATCCGAGATTCACAACAAAGGACACCACAGCGCGGACCGCAACCTTCAATATGCTTCAGAATATGTTTACTGGCCTGAGATGCGCAAAGATTTCCGTGATTTCGTCAAACAATGTGAACTCTGCCAGGCAAACAAGGAGCGAACACAACTACCTGAAGGAAAGGCACAGACCCTCCAACTACCATGTGAAATATTCGAATCATATGCCATCGATTTTGCAGGACCATTCAACAAACCCACTGGATTTGACACCATCTTGGTAGCTGTGGACCGATTTTCTGGATATACCCGGCTCATTCCAATGAAAGTTACCAATTCCTCCAAAGACACCTGGAAGAACCTCCAACAATACCTGTTTACCCCCCATGGGTACCCCTTATCGATTGTCAGTGACGCTGATCCCCGATTTACTGCTAGATTCTGGAAGCAAACCTTGACCTCCCTCGGAATAAACCACATTATGGCTGCCCCTGGACACCATGAGACAAATGGCCAGGCAGAACGAAAAATCCGCGAGGTTAAGACCGGAATTAGGAATATGATCAATGAACGACAAACCAACTGGGAACCAGCCCTAGTTGAACTGGCCGCATATATCAATGCCGGATTTTCAGATACCCTGGGAATGTCACCATGTAAGGCAGTCTTTGGCCGCCAATACCCCCTCCTACCTACAACACTATTCAAGAACTCCTCAGTCCCCGCCTCCGATGAACACCTTAACCGCCATCAAGCAATCCGGAATGATGCCTTCCAAGCTGTTAAAGCTGCCAGATTCCGAAGTACCACCACCGCTCAGAAGCGACGATGCAAACATGTCCCTACCCTCCTGGGTGATATGCTCATGGTACATGGAAACATGTTCATTACCAATGTCGGACGCAGCAAGAAATTGCAACCCCGGTGGCGAGGACCCTTCAAAGTCTTATCTTTTGACGAGCATACAGAAAACTACACTGTCCAGATGGATGGACGCATGTACCGCTGCAATACTGCGGTCTTCCATGCCTCTGCTGTCAAACGATTCCACCCAAATGACGCCTCCAAGTTCCCTGGAAGAACCCACTCTCGACCTGTACCTATCATCATTGAAAAGAAAGATGAATGCGAAGTTGAAGAAATCCGAGACCACCACCTTTGGCATGGAAATGATCAGTTCCTAGTCAAATGGAAAGGATATCCGACAAGCGAGAACAGCTGGGAACCATTAGAAGGACTAGAGCACGCTATGGATATGGTGAACGAATGGTGGAAAGACAATATGCCAAACGAATCACTCCCCCCAACGATCAACTACATCACCATGTGCTGGACACCTAAAATGCCAGAAACTGAGCGATGACATGCAGAACTCGAAGCTAGAGATGGATTTTGGGCACCATACTTTGAGTCGGAATTCGAAAGCAGCGATGAGGAAAACCAAGCTATGGAGCAGGCTCTGGACAACCTTATCTAGTCACCAATCACCATCCGAATACCATAATGATGTCAAACTATGTGGAAGTCAATGTGAGGCTGCGATAACAGATTGTTGGACTGTTGTTGAACCGTGATGTTATCCAACTTGAAGACTATTTCGAAATCCTCTGGATAGATTACGGTCCTGATTGCGATTACTCTTGGGTTGATGTACAGCGCGAATCTGGTATTCGTGACTACTGTGATTTACATTTCTTTGAGTCTAAGTGTTTCCTTAAGGTTTCTTCCTGCCCCTGGAGTGATACTTATGACGAAGAATTCTATGCGGAAACTGAGGCCATGAGTTTCTCGGAATCCGCTTTTGATGATTATTAGGTTTTGTTTGTTTAAACAGTTGTTTTGTTTTGGGGAATGTAACCGGTACGGGTACTCGGTTATTGGTTTTGTTTTATGTTTTGTTTTAACTATCGCTTTGATACTTGGTTTGTTTTAAGTATTGTTTGATACTTGGCTTTGTTTTATGTTTTGTTTTAAGTATCGCTTTGATACTTGGTTTGTTTTAAGTATCGTTTGATACTTGGTTTTGTTTTATGTTTTGTTTTAAGTATCGCTTTGATACTTGGTTTGTTTTGAGTATCGTTTGATACTTGGTTTTGTTTTATGTTTTGTTTTAAGTATTACTTTGATACTTGGTTTGTTTTAAGTATCGTTTGATACTTGGTTTTGTTTTATGTTTTGTTTTAAGTATCGCTTTGATACTTGGTTTGTTTTAAGTATCGTTTGATACTTGGTTTTGTTTTATGTTTTGTTTAAGTATCGTTTTGATACTTAAGGAGTTTTACCAAAGAGTATCAATTGATACCTTTAATTAGTTTCGTTCATGCTAGACATGAACAGATTTGTGTATTTAAAGACCGCCTGTTTCTACGATAGAAAAGGCAGACTTCGACACACAGTATTTCAATATACTTGGTTGAACAGTTACTTCTTTGTTTCTCAGTACACCCTCGAAGCCTCCTTTAGTTCTCAGCTCTCGCCTCCTCTCTGGAAGAGCAGGCCACCTGCCAACTATCGTATCTATTATCGTTAACGTGATTAGTACCTTGCGAACACCTTACAAGAGGTGGACATGTTGGTCACTTCTCTACCATTTTGTCCCCTGTTGTTTATATTTGTTTTGGTTTTGTTGGTTTTCTACTATGGAGGAGGTTTTGCGGGACGGTGTTTGGACTGGGTAGTAGTGATTTTATGTTTGTTGGACAAGGAACCTGGTTGGGTTGGTCTTTTGCTCGGCTTCGGCTACGCTTAGTGCTGGTTGGCTTCATACCAGAGGGGCTAGGGACTTGAACCGGGGTGGGAGCTGGGTTGTTTGATGGTTTTGTAATTAGTTTCCCTGTGGGCATGACTCGGGGATGGCAGGTGCAGGACCGTAGACTTAGGTAGCCTAGGATTAGTGGTATACCGGTTAGCGGTATCCCTGTGCCAGTGGGGGCTCATCGTATGCCAGTTTTGGCGGTATGAGTTTAAATAAAATTAGATTGACTTCTAAGTATTTGTCCTACTTATTACTTTAACAAATATAAAACACCTTTACAATCTTTATCTTTATTGCAACATTATTATTACGCCAAGGAAAGTTCTTCATGAAGAAGAGTTAGAGAAAGCTTACAATAGGCATTCCCAATAGAAGACAAAGGTCTTGTACTATTGGTAACATAGGCAGAGGCCTAGTGCTATTGTAAGATGAAGGAAAGAAACAGAAGAAGAAGAGAAGTATTGTTTCCTGTTGCCAAGAACTAACTATCCAAGGAGCGATCGTTACACTCTGCTTCTAATCGTTTCAATTCCAAATGCAGTGCCATATCTTTAACCATATTGAGCCGGGGTGGGAATCCTCTATCATCCTGCTCGCAACACCACATCTCTATCACTTTTTCTTCGGCACTTGTAATGTGCTGTTGGTCTTGATGTTCTTCGACTGCACTCAAATAAGTTCCTGCAACCCGTTGGTAAAGTGTTCGCTTATTAACTGAAAATTCTTCTGAGGCCTCTAGCACAGACAAAGGATTTGTTGCTCCTTTGACTGCCTTAATTGCTCTTTGAAGCCATTCTTCATACTGGGATGCTTTCCTCAAGGTTAGTTTACCCATTGCGATAGGTTTGTTGTTGTCACAGCACAGATCAAGCGCGGGAAACCAAAATACTAATTATCCATGTCTCAGAGCATGTCAGCACCTGTGTCATATCCCGGTCTTGTGTCACATCACGGTGAAATACGTTAGGATATTCTAGCACTCCATTTTATCATGAGTAAATTTAAACTACAAACCACCCTAGAGTGTTCATGAAAAAAACCCAGATACGAGACTCCACTTTTACCCCTCCTTACACGCTAACTAAAATCATGAACTTCCAACTTATGAATTTCCGCTCTCTACAAAAACCTTCATCGCCTTTTCAAAAATATCCAACCCTTCGTTTATGATCTCCTCCTCAATGACTAACGGGGGAACAAACCGAACTGTATTCGTGCCAGCTGTAATAATCAGTAGTCCCCGCTCCCTGGCCTCCTTGACCAGGCTTGTGGGATCTCTGGTCAACTGGAGCCCAAGGATTAATCCTTTGCCTCGGACCTCAGTTGCTACTTCCGGATATTTATCCTTAATCGCAGTCAACCGCTTCACAAACACCCCTGACTTGGCTTCAACTCCTTTAAGGAGAGAGTGCTCCGAAAGCCTGCTAAAGACGTGGTGCCCGATTCGGGAAGCTAGTGGGTTCCCGCCAAAAGTTGTTCCGTGGTCACCGGTCATGATCTTTTCTCCAACAAAATTGTTGACCATTGTTGCACCAATTGGGAATCCGTTGCCAAGCGCCTTAGCCATGGTTAGGATATCCGGGTGAGCCTCCTTGGGGAGGAACTGGTGGGCCCAGAGGTCTCCAGTTCTGCCCAAACCGCACTGCGATCGTGTTACCGGTGGTCACTATGTAATTGTAGCCACGAGGTGATAATACCTGAATCTCGTCATAAATCAATACAGCTCCGACCTCCTTGCACCTCTTGCTCAACGCAATCAGAAACTCTGGAGACCCAACGTTGACACCACCCTCTCCCTGTATCGGCTCGACAATGACTCCACAAGTCTCCCCAGTGACCAAGTCATTAATCCCTGCAATATCATTATAAACTCCATGTGTATACCCCGGAACCATTGGGGAAAAGGGTTTCTGATACTTTGGATTAGGTGTAGCCGAAAGGGCACCCATAGTTCTACCATGGAACGAGTTGGTGAATGAGACTACACCAATCTTCTTCTCCCCGCCAATTACTTTCCCGACCTTTCTCGCAAACTTGAGGGCTGCCTCGTTCGCCTCGGAGCCAGAATTGCAAACAAACACCTGAGAAGCATTGTGGAATGCGCCGTGCTCTTTAGTTTTGTTAACAAGCAGCGCTGCTAGCTCTCCGGTCCAAGGGTTATGATACAAGTTCGAGGTATGGATAACCTGTTTCGCCTAAAGTCACCCGTCCCCAAGTTAACCCCCACAACGAGCGCAGCAAAGCAAAGCACAAAAGCGACACGAGTGTCGGACTCAACAAACCTGGTCAAAAATCAAGTTGCACAAGTGCTCGTCTCCATGACCCAAAGAATTCACGGCGATCCCAGCTGTGAAATCAATGTACTTCCTGTTCTCCACATCATACAACACACTCCCGACCCCGCGAACGAACATCTGTGGTGGGCGGACATAGGTCCTGACCATATAGGGTGCTTGCTTAGATAACAGAGATCCAGTAGCAGAGTCAGTGGGGGGGTCATAGTTAGGCAATAACTGCTCGTGCTGGCGGAATTGTTAGTGTGCTCTCAGCATCCCTTTAGATCTGGATAGCAGCAGCGGCTTACTGCTATCTCATCTTTGACAGACTTCGGAAGATTGGAAACTGAAGCGAACCCACGGATAATTGGCGTTCGGATAAGCCAAGTACGTAATGGTTTGCGGGACGCCTGTCGGAGAGCCATTGTGGTGAATTGGGTTTGGAGAGGGGTGAGGGGAAGTGTCGAGAGAGTGGAGAATAGAGAGAGGGGTAGGAGAGTAGTGAGAGGAGAGGGGGAGTGGAATCTAGGGTATGTGTCACCGTCCGGCTATGATACTGAATTTTCATAGTTGGGAGGATTTTTTTTTCTCCCGCCACTCTGGTGCCCCTTCCTGCAG